GTGAAAAATTTAAACTCTATTATGTTATGCCAGGCATATCATGAAATTCAGCAATTCTACTCCCAGACACATTTTGCACAACAGAAAAAAATACATAAACAGCCATCAAGCAAACTAGAGCTACATGATTTATGGTGACCATGAAAATAAAACAAACTGCAGTATGGGTGACAAAACACAATTTTGAGTGAAAAAAGCACATCACAAAGGTATATATATAAACATTAAATTTTTAAAAACAAGTAAAATTATATTAGTAAAATGTTCAGGGACATGCACAAATGTAATCTGTGAAATAAAGCAAAAGAACAGTAAAACTTGCAGGGTAGCAGATAAGTGGATGCCAAACTGAACCAAGCAGCAGCATGTTGGTAATTTTAACAAGTTAGTGCCACATCTATTGTATGACTTCATTACTGGTTCTCATGCTTCAAAACTGAACTTAAATGCTATATCCTTTTATGTCTCAGAACTCAAAATGAGAAAGAGTGCTGTTTGACCACGTCTCAGCATAAACAAACAAACTTAGGCCTTGTTCCGGTTTGTATCTAGAAGCCCCCCATCTCACCAAGCCTCATGGACTCATAGGTGGGGCTTTTCAGAGGTAGCTCAATCTAGGGTGTATGGATTAAGGGTGTGGGAACCAAATTAGTGCACTGATTGGTTTAGCATAGTTCTGCGTGTGGATAATGAGAAGCCCCACCCTGGGAGTAGATGGTACAGCCCAAAAGGCTTGAAGGATGGATGGGATCAAGAGAAAGGAAGGAGGCCGGGGATATAGCTCAACTGCACAAGCACCCGCTAGGCAAGCACAAGGTCCTGAGTTCGATCCCTGGTACCACAAAACAAAAAAAAAAGAGAGAGAAAGAAAGGTTTGTTGTTGTTGTTGCTGCTGCTGCTGCTGCCTCCCATTTATCCTTCCATGGACTATTGGGTGTTTTGTCCCAGCAATGAGAAAGTAACCAAGACATATTTCAAAATAATTATCTGCTATTCTTTACAACTATTCAGATGTCTACCAGTCTGCATTTCCTTTATTAGTCTACCCTGGCTGTACTGAAGGACCAAGATGTTTCAAATTGGAGTTTGTTTGTTTGTTTGTTTGTTTTAGAAAAGTAACACAGTACTTATACTGTATGTTTCCAAAAGCCCTCTTGGGAATCTAGAGCAGCATCCTGAAATCAAGCACATGAATGTTTCTCCAGTAAAAGCTATTACTATCTACACCAAGAGAGATAAATGAACTAAACATTGTAACATCAGGTAAGGTCAACAAGTAAATCTTAGCAAAAACTTGGTTTTCAGAGCTTTTTATATACCAGACTTGTGAGTAAGGAACTGCAAATATAGACCTGCAAATAAATTCAACTTTACTTAAACAGTAAACTTTATATATCAATTTATTTCATTTTCAAGGTTTTCTAACTATCAAAATGCAAGCTTTGCAGGATGTAGTGGGAATCATCTGTAATCCCAGCACTCAGGAGGCTGAGGCAGGGAGATCATTGAGAGTATGAGACCACCCTGGGCTACAACGTGAGTTCAAATCCAGCCTAAACTACATAGTAAAACCTTGTCTCAAAAAGACAAAAGAGAGAGAAAAGAGAGTGGGAGACACAAAATGTAAGCTTTAAAATAAACCAATCCATACGCTATAAATGTCCAACCCTTATTTCACAAAAGAAATACATGTATAAAACAATTTTCAACTCTTATTCTACTTCATTTTTATTGTATTTTCATAACATTCTCATTTACTATATATAAAGAAAAACTATACTGTCTTATTTTAATTAGACAAATACCTAGCACCAAGCTGAAAGAAAAAAAGGAAAAACCTATGCACTGTGATAAGAAACATCATGTGGTCTATAGGTATACTGACATCACTCAAACTGTTTTCTAAACCACTGAACATGGTACATAAAATGTTTAATCACTTTTACTCATCCACACAAGTCTTAAGTAACTGTTTACCTAAATCCTACAGATTAGATGACTGGTTTACTCTTGGAAAAAGTAAAATAAATCAAAATTCAGAAGCACAGACTTTAGAAAGCCATTTCTCCAGCATAATGCTAAAACACAATTCTTTATATCATAATAGGCAAGCATTGTAAAGATCGAGTCTTGACAACAAAGCACAGGTATTTACTCAAAGGTTTCAAGCACTGCAAAAGCAGATCTCCAAACCCTCCACCCCACCCCAAGCATTACAGAAGCAAACCTTTCTCAAAACTATTTTTACACAACATCAAGCAGCTCACAACCCGCAACCACAAAAGAGATACTGATTAATTAATCTCTTCTGATTAATTTAAGCACCCACATGAAGTAACTAGCAGCTTCTGCAAAGAAAAAAGGTAATTTGGTCTCCACATTGAGACAGTCTTGGAATCCAGCTCCATTTATGCTTGGGGACTGTTAGCACTTTCACAGTGGCAAAATCAAATGATAATGACAAGCACTCAAAATTATGTAACCAGAAAGTTGTAAATGAAGCCATTTTCTTTTTCAAAGAAAAGTTAAATCCATTAACTAAAAATATGTTAAAGGACCAAGAGATCTACATTTAAAGAGCACTCCTGTGTCCAGAGCTCAGCGCTAAACACTTCGGTATGATCTGGGTGACTTTCCTCCACAAGTGGCTTGCCTTCTGCCCTGGGATACTGATAGCTTCACAGTTACTTCTGGCAAGCAAATCCTTTTCCTTTGTCTGTCAGGGCAGTGAAGCTCAGCGATCCTTCTCTGGGCCCCTGAAAGAAGGGACTGCTGCGTGCTGTGTCTGTCTCTATTAGACCAAATGACCTAAGTTTTCCTATTAAACACAAAATATTGCTTAGAGTAAAACAAAAACGATGTGCAGTAAAACAATGAGCAATTGTGAAATGCAGCTTACATGGTAAGGTTTCAAACTGTTAAAGTGATACCAGCCATTCTTTCACCAGTATTTTAGGAAACAAAAGTTTTTATAGCATTCTTTCAAAGATTAATTTGCAGAGTTTCGGTTTGCAAAAGACAAGTTGTGGGAATGGATGGCTTGCACAGCAACAGGGACATACTTAATGCCAGCCAAATGGACACAAAATAGCTACGATATCAAAATTTTTATGTAAATGCTACCAATTAATTCATTCCAGTATTTCACCATGTGAGAATTGTAAACTTATTCGTTATTTAGAAATAATTTAAAACTAATTTGTTATGACTTGAAATTTTTTTTCAATTGTACCAATTTTCAACAGAAGCACCAGGAAACTTTCTCCACAGGCTCCTGGGAACCTGTTTACTTCTAGGCTTGGCGAGGCTTACTGCACTTTAAATCACACTCATACTCACATTCAGAATGATATTTAAGCAATTTAAAGCAGCAGTAACGGTGTTGTCAAGCCAACAACAGCGATGTCAACTCTCACACCGCTGATGTCACCTTAATAAATGTCTCTTGGCTGTCTCAAGTACTTAATAAACGGACTGGATTGTTTACTGAGCATGTGTAATGTTTCAGTTTTAAAATTCAGTCATCTTAATAATTCAGAAAATATTAAAGCAAAATGTATGATCATATCACAAGTATAAACAGCTTAGTTCCAAGCTGTGAATAACCCTAAAAATTGTAATCAACATCACTATAAAACCCAAGGGATGAAAGTAAAGTGGAAAAGAGACAATTCTATCTGGGTTTTAGTCTGAACCTGACGAATACTTGAGATTCATCAAGGATTGAGGTACTATTTTTAACTGAACTTTCTGGCCTTAGGTCAAAGTTTCACTAGCAAAATACCAAAGAGAAAATGCTGGGAGTGGAGCTAGAGTCTGTGTTAGCTAAGGAAAGACGAAGACCTCCACGCAGCCAATCCCATTCCCAACACCTTAACGGGAACCTCAGTAACAGCAAACACCTAACCCCAGGAACACAGTACTGCTCCAATCGGGTACAGTTCCGCACATCACTACACTGTGTACAACACAGCTCATCGCCACATTCTACACTTTGTACAGAAAGATACACACTCTCCAGTCAGTTCCTATATTTTGGCCAGACAGGACTGAGTCACTCTGCAAATGATTCCAGAAACCTCAAAGAATAACCAACGGCCTCAGAAGAGAAGTCAGGCAGTGGCAAGGGAGGAGGTGGTTTTTCTCAGCGCAGTCACTGGCTTTCTCTCAGCAAGACCCAGGACTGAACATTGCGTCCCGGCGCACAAGGTGTGATCGCCCACCTACCTCCAACCTCCCAGAGCTCGCTCCCAAAGGACCCTTCCCGCGCTCTCTCCCCACCTTTTTCTATCCACACCACCTTAATCAAACCGTCTGGGAGAGCCAACTGTCAACCCTAACATAAGTAAGAAATACGCCAGCATTCTGCAGCGCATTTCCTTGTAAAACGCCTTTGATTCTTAATCCAGAGCCACAAGCAGCCTTTACGTGGCTATGAATCTAGATTTCTAAGGGCGTCCCTAGCAAAGATAAGATGCGGGGGACAGATTTATTCCACTTTACAATCAGTACATATATATACATATACGTACCTATACACATATGTATACATATATATACACGTATATATACACATACGTATATATATGGCTTTGGCGCAACCATCTCCGGAAAATTCAATTTACATAAATTAAGATGCACTAAATAGCTACGAAGGAATGCTCAAGAGACAACAGAAAACGGCAAAACTTTAGCTAGGTGTTCAAGATTCCCCGCTAAAAGGGAGACAGCGGCCGCAGCGCTTTACCGCGCACCCGGGTGGGCAATGCCCACGGTCATCGGCTCGCGCCCGGGCGGCGTGACACTTCGCAACCTCGGCCGCTCTGCTTGGGAAGCAGGGCCAGGGCTCCGCTTCTGCGCCCCAAACCTGTGGGTAGGCGGGAAGGAGGCGCGGACGCCGCCCCGCAGAGAAGGCGGGGACCCCGGCCCGGGGCGGGAGGATCCGCGCCGGAACGAGGTCCCGGGGGCCGGAGGGCAGCGGGGACGCGCGAGCCACCTACCAGCAGGCTGTCCACGTTGATGGGCGAGCGCGGGTCCCGGAGCAGCGCGTCCAGCTTCCTGCGGCGGTCGGCGGCCCCGTCCCCGGGCCCGGCCTCCTCGGGG